TATTACATTAAAAATTATAAGGATTTGTAATAAAATTATATGTTTTTTATTAAATTAATATTTTTTTATGATTGATTTATATTATTAATTAAAAAGATTTTATTAAAATTAAAGAATTAATAAATTTGTTATAAATTATAAATTTAGTACTTATTTGCTACTATTATTATAAATAATATTTAGACTATATGATGAGAATGTTAAAACTTTAACAACCAAAAATATTTGAATCTTAAATTGATATTTGATACAAATTAGCCTTTACTACTTAAAATAATTATATATATAGACCTAAATTATTTAAAATCCTATTTTTTAAAATATAAAAAAAGAATAAAATCTAATTTAAAAAATTATTTAAAAGAAAGAAAAAAAATTAAAATAAATAAATAAAATAAAAAAAAATTCTAAAAAAAAGAGAATAGAATAATTAGTAAACTTAAATTATTTTTTTTTATAAATGCGTTTACTTTGATAATAGGCTAAAATAAAGCTTGAATAATAAAGATTAGCTAATAAAAGTTTCACCACTGATTAAGAGTAAGTGCAACCTTATTATATACATTTACCAAGGGATTACCATTTTAATTATAATCTATTTTGTCTAATTTGATCTCAAAATTCACTCAACTAAATTTTCTTTTAGATTTTTATAAATTAAATTTGAATAAAAGGCTCACTTCAGCTACAGTAATTGACAGTCACTATTTTTACCAATTTAATTTATAAGGGTTTATCCTATTGATAATTTTTGAGGTCATGGGATTAGATTCTTTATATAGATAATGACTTAGTACCCATAATATTAAATATACCCAGAAATTGAATCTGACCTTAACCTCTAATAATAATATGATTTGACTCAAAACTGTAACATAAAATGAGTCTATTATTTTTTATACTCTTCAAATCTACTAATTATTAGTTAATTACTTTTTATTTATGTAGGATTCCTAAGTTTGAAGATGTAATAGTATCAATTATAGATATATAAGCAAAGACTAAATTTTTATTGATCTTTAGCTTTATTTGCATCTACATGTTCTTTAAAGCTTAGTATTTAAGTATGATTAATGTCAATCTACAGATTGATTAATCAATTTCAAATATATATTAGTCTATATATATACATATTTAGTTACAATGAAATTTTTATAAAAATCATTCAATTTATGCCTTAGCTGAGACTTGAACTTGTAGCTATTGCAGTATAATTCATAATAAAATCTTAGTTGTTACCAACTAAATTAGAGATACTGATCTTCTAAACTTAAATTATTAAAATTTATTGTTAATAATAAATAAAGTTATTAGAAAGCATAAATTAATTAAATATCAAAACTTTAAAAAACATATATATTTATAATTTTAAGCTATAAACTAAACTACTTCTACTAAAAAAAATTAAGTTATTACTAAGATAAATTTGTAAATATATGTCTTGTAAGGTTATTTCATCTTAGTTTTTCTAATTATATACTAAAATTCTAATAATAAGCAAAAATCATAGTGATTCTAATTAATATTAATAAGAATAGGAAATTGATGATCTCCATGACTAAAAGTAATCTTTCTATTTAAATTTAGTAATAGTTTAGAGGTTTAAAGATCTTAAAGGATTAAGTTTTAAATATCTATAATTTAGTAATAATTCTTAAGCTAATATCAATTAAGCTGTTTCTAATTGAAACTTAAATTTAATCATGATCTTATTGATTAATTATTTATTTTAAAATAAATTAAAGTAGAGGTTGGAACTGGTTAAAACAGTTAACATGTTAACTGGTTAAAATTTTTTTTAACCGGTTAAAATAAATGAATTTAAATCTAGCTGAAATTCAATTTCTAGCCAGAATTAAGATTTTTATGATTGATAAAATATTGTCTTACTCTGGCCAAATTTATAATACTGGCCAAAGTTAATTTTAACCAGTTAATTAACTGGTTAACAAATATTTTAACCAGTTATTAACTGGTTAAAGAATTTTCAGCTGGTTTCAACCTCTAAACTAAAGAGTATATATAATATCAAATATCTAAAATAATTTTGTATTTAATATATAATAATTTGAATTGACTTTTAATATTCAAAATCATTTCGATATTTATTTGAAATTATTTTTAAAAAATTTTTAAATATTTGAAATGCAATTTGTATTTTAAATGAAAACTCTAACTTAAATAGTATAGTTATAATTATTAATAGATTATTAGTATTTAAATATTATTACACTTCAAAAAAAAAAATTTATCAAAAATACTAAAATTTTAAAGAAACTTTATATTTACTATTTTGAACTTTGACTTAGTATCTTTACTAAAAAAAAAATAAAGTTATAAATTTATCAAAATGTTAAAACTTTTAAAGAAAGTTTATATTTACTATTTTTTTTAATAAAAGTTTTTACTCTCTTTTTTCTTTATCTATAAGAAGAAAAAATTTAGCAAAACATTAAAAATATTAAAAATAATAATAAATTTTAATAATAAGTATAATATTATATACCTTAAGAATTTTTCTTTTCAGATTTCAATTGATCATTTTTTAGATTTAAATGCTTATAACTTATTAACTATAAATACTAGAATTATGATTTTATATATTTTATATATCTTTTAATCCTTAAGTTTTAAAGATTATATTATATTAGAAAATTTTTTTTAAATAAGAATATCAATATTATATAAATTATTAATTTATATAAAATAATATTTCTAATTAAAAAGATTTTCTAATATAAAATAATTTCCAAAACTTAAAGATTAAAAAATATATATATAAACTTTTAAACTTAAAAAATAAATACTTACATTTCTTTTAATAGCTACTATATATAATATCAAAATATATGTTATATTAAAAATTTTATTAATATAAAATATAAAATTTTTTATATTTACAAAGTAAATTATAAAATTGAATGTTAAATATTTCATAATACTCTTAGATAAGTTTGTCCTTCTTTATGTGAGAATCTTTAGTTCTCAACAATTTTAAGTTCTAAATAAAAAAGAATATTATATATAATATATTTATTTCTTAATTACTATTTAATTATTTTAATTACAACATATTTGATAACTAGAAAAAAAATGTTTAACATTATATACTAGGAAAATATTGTTTCAGTTTTTCATTAATATTTTGGACTATAATAGCCTAAAGTTCTTTTTTAGAAGGCCAAGTATCATGATATTTCAAAAGTAATCTTATAAATTAAAAGTAATTTATATATATAATATATTAAAATAATTTTATATAAAAATATTACTTTGTTTTTATTTTTTCACTCTTTAAACAGAGTATCAATTGTTACTTTAAACCATTTTACACATAGTGGATGTTTAGTTTAATTAGTGATGTTTAAAAGTAGAAAAAAAAGATGTAGTTGATGAAGTTGAGGTAAGGATAGAAAGAGAAGTTGGAAGTAGGAACAGAAGGAGAAGTTGAAGAAGAAGAGGTAAAATCTGAAGTAAAAGTTAAAGAAGCCAATTTTATATAATAAAAATATAAATAAAAATAAATTATATTAAAAAAAAATGAAAAAATGAAAACTTTTTTTATATACTTGAATTATAATTACATGTAAGTATATTAAATTTCTAATACATCAGCATTTATGGTCATTATTATTCATTTCTAACTCAATGAAAATATGTTAGTCTCTTCAATTCTTGATCTCGTAGTAATAATAAATTTTATTAAATTTGTAGTAAACATTTTTTTATTAAAATGTGAAGTAAATGAAATTGAAAGTTCAAAGAATAAGGTATTTATAAGAAATCGATATATACAATTATTTCGTAAATAGTTCGACAATTAAGGTCAATAATTGTAAATAAAACGTCTGTCGGTTGAACCACAAGAAATAATGAGCAATCTGTCGTTATTATTTAAAAAAATCATCTGGCATTATATGTATCGTGAAAATTCATGAATGGCAACGCCTGAAAAACCATTTCTTGCCAAATAATTCTAAAAAAAAAGTTCAATAAACTCACTTTTTGGTATTTAATCATATCAAAGTTTCAGTTGATAAATTAGAAACTCCGTAAACTTTAAAATGTGCTAATTTGAGTTTTTCAAGTAGGATTTTATTATTTCACAGGAGTATTATATTCAACTTGAGAAGAAATTTCTTTTCAACTACCAAAATAGAAAGTTCTGCGTAAAAATTATTTGCTTATCAAATCAACTATATAAGATCCCATAAAAAGGTATTAAAGTACATCGTGATTTCTCAATATTACATTAAATTCTGGATTAATGTAAGTTGACTTGAAGGTAAGAGCGAAAAACAAATTTAAAATAACATTTTTAAATAAAAAATAAGAGACTTTTAAGGAACGCTTGATGCAATTGATGTATAATAAATCTATCGAAAATTCCAAGTATTTATGGAATTACTAATTTGATCATTTATAAAATCAAGTTGCAAACCATTCAAATAATATCATTTTCTCATTAACAAGAAATAATTCACCCATAATAAAAAGTTTTGAATCATTAATACTGCGGTACGTAATATCAAGTTAAATAATTACTGATTCTGTCTGTACTAATTTATATTGTAACATATTTTTAAATAAAGTATTAAGATTTTATTTGCTGTGCGTGTGAAACGAAATTTTTTTTTCTTTCTTTTTTTGTTTTTTATAAAAAAAATTAATTACATGAATTTTATTTTTTCGTGTGTTTTATTATAGATCGGTTAATACACCGGCCGGTTAACGAATATTTTAACCGGTTAAACTGGTTAAAGAAATTAAATCAAAACATATCACATGATTATACTTTTGATAAATTTCACTTTTCACAACAAGGTGAACCTTCTAATAATATTAAATTGAAACTTTTGGAAATTCGAATTGTACGACAAATTTCATATCTTTTGCAGCAAAACCTTAAGAGATGGCGTTATGATATCCTTCTCTTATTAACAATGTAGTTAGTTATACTAACAAAAATAATTAAATAAATTTAATTATTTCAGATAACAATGGAACGCCGTAGTTTTTTGTGTCTGATACAATTAAAGGCCCCGGCCATATTTAGTGAATCGCCAATGAATTTGTATTATCGTACTTACCAACAAATTTCTTTCGACAACATGAAATTTCAAAGGATTTATTCTCGCCATTGAAGATTTTTATATTGATTTATTACTACAAAACTGATCTTCAAGACTCTATAGCTGCTGTTCAAGCTTTAAGCAGAGCTTATTTGTTGGATCTAATTGGAATAAGGTAAATACTGCAACAATGTTTTTAATGACTTAATAATAGAAAATCTTATATTAAACCTTTCATGGGGTAATCATGATCTATTATTTAGTTGATCGATATTCAAATTGTACCTACTTATCTTAAAGAAACTGCTTTTAATAGTTGGAATGAATTATACCTCTTGGCTAATGTCATTCAAGCTAATAGCTTCATTACTCAATTTGAGAGTGATTCTAAACAAATGTCTTAGTAGAAATGTAGCCCACCGAATTTAATCAAAGACAACATCTCGCATGGTATCCATAGATCAAAATGCTTTTTGTTATACAATAATTTCATCAACAAATTACCATCTTTGTTTATCCTGACAATATTTAAGCCCGAAAATTCATATAGGAATTACAACCTGTTATTAAACATTTCGTGACCAAATTTTATCAATATATTCTGTTTGAATTGTGAATTAATTCGGTTGTTACTTTTACAAGTCGGTTGAATTAGAGATAATTCAAGTTCCTCCTGGAAATTCGATGGAATCTGTCATAAGAAAGATGCTTCACGAATTGTAACAATTAATTATTAGATCTACATGTATGTCCAGGTGAACCTTATTCTATCCAAAAAAAAAAAAAGGACTTCAAAGATTGATTATAAATTCGTGAAAAGGATGAATGAAAAACCATAGCGCAACGGAACAAATTAATAATCCAAGAATGTATGATCAAAGCATTATTATTTATTTGCTGGAGTTCAGTTTACAAATATACATAATGTGGCACATTCAAAAACTATTCGATTAATTGCCGATAATCAATAAATACCTAACTTTTGAAAATAAATACAATACGTACATGTTACCTATTCTCTAATACTTAAACAAAGAGGAGTTTTTAGCATACTATGTAAGATGATACCAGATAAAAAGATTATAATTTTGGGAGATGTAACTGTCCAGTTGCATTATAATTTGGTTCAAGAATTTGGTTATTCGGATCTATAACAAGGTTATAAGCATAAACTTATGTGGTTCTCGTAGATCTACAACATCACACGTCTGCCAACTACAATTCCCAATCTTCTCGGAAGATCATTTTCTTTCTTCTATGAAACCAATAGATTTCTAGATTCGAGAAGCATATGAGGCCTTTGCAATAGAAAGGGAGGAAACTCAAAAAAAAATAAAAAATAAGTTAATAATAAATCTGAACAAATTATAGTATTTAGAACATTTTTGGCTTATAAACTAAAATTTTAATTTTTTTGGAGTTTCCTCCCTTTCTATTGCAAAGACCCCATATGTTTCCTATAGTGATATTTTATCTGTCAATTAGTATTGCATATATTCGACCACTTGAACACTGCGAGAAAATGGTTAGAGTAATAAGCAAATTTCTGTGATTTTAATGGATGGGATGCAGGGGATGTGGGCGTGGAGTGTGTATATCATTTTGACTATTAGGATCTATTTGTAATTGAAATATAAAAATGTAGGTAACTTTTATAATTATGGGTAATCTTTGCCTGAATTATGTGTGTTAATGTTACACTTACATTTCATCTTTTTGATATTTGATATATCAGCGATAATATTAAAGATCTTTGAAGAAGAGAAGAAATAATGAGATTTCTTCCAACATTAAGGCCAATGACTTGAAACTGTAGAAAATACATTTAGTAATTATAGGAAGCTAAACTGAATTTTCAAGACTTGCTCTGAATAATGATGATAAAGAAGCTCCTCTAATTAAGGATGTAACATTTTTTTGCGAATTTTGACTTTATCCTTAATTTTATAGTGTATAAATTGCGCGAACTAACAATTTTTAACTATATATCACTGACATGAAATAATGGTAGAACCCATTGACATTTTTAAAAAGAAGCATTTTGTAACTTAGATTATTTGAAGAGCGTTTAAATTTTGATATTGAGAAATTCAACGAAGCTTAACATCTCAATTAAGTTTCATTAGCAGCAAAGAAAGATCCGGTGAAGCGCATTGAGTGTTCACCAATGGACTAAGTGGTTTCGCCAAAATTGATATCGCAACACATCAGAGATTTCAAGATTAAATAAACCAATTATGACATTCAAAAATTGATATTGTCTCAGCAAATTGTACCGTTCAATGAAGCATGCAAATAATATCCTTTTTATTATAATTGAATTTACGCTACGAGATATATTTGAACGAAGTGGGGTAGCTTATTATTGTACTGTCATGTAATGTAGAATTAGCCATCATATACAATAAATCATTTATAGCACTTGGGTATTTTTTTGAGATTTGAAGAGTTAAAGATTTCTAATTATGCAGATTGAACTCATTATCAACTAGTCAAATGTTACCATATCATAGAAGAATTTATCTTTTAAAAATATTTTTATATCTTAAATGTTAATTACTTTTGGTAATAAAATTTCATCAAAAATTTAGATTTGATTCTTATCCTAGACAAAGAAGCGAAAAAAATTATATTTTTGGGTCTAACGTTTATTAATTTTCCAAGCTAAAACTGAATTATATCACATCATCCGCTTGTTCTTTTAATTCAAAAGAATTGACGATTTTGGGATAAAAAAGACTCAATTTCTAATAGAATACACAATCTAAAATTATCTCAGCTAGCAAAAGCTAATAAAAAACTTGTATCGACATTTAAATTTTGACATATATTTTTATCGGGAATTTAATCTTAAGACACTTAATTTACGGATATCAATTGGCTTCAAAGAAGTAGAAATAGTAATGACACACAATATGCCTAAGATCAAGATAGAAACAAATATTAATAACATCAAGTATACTTTATAGTCAGAAATTTCAAATATTAAAAATAAATGCACTTGATATCCAATAACAAATGTATAATTTCAGCTTTATTTAAAATATAAATAATTTGTATTATAGGTAATACAAAACTAATTTCAAAATTAATGAAACACAAAAACTCAACGCGTACCATTTGTTCAAAATAAGGGGAAACCTTGAGAGCCTTTAACACAGTACTTATTGATGATCCTACAGCAAATTCACCACTTGTTGTACACAATGTCCCATGTCCCAATGCTATAACTATTCCATCTTGATCAAACCATATACAACCCGAATCCCCTTCATCCATGAAGAGTCCTTTTTTTGCTAGTACCAATATTTGCCTATCTAACCATTTAAAAGGAAAATTTTCTTTCCCCCGAACTTTAATTTCTTTCATCTGTACACCATGAAAATTCAATTGTTGCTCTAATATCAAAGAGCCATCCTTAGAAAGGATTGATGTTATGCCTTCTTTAATATACCCTTTTGTTAACCCAGATGTGCATCCAACTTTATATATTGGCTTAGAAGTATCAACAGAGTGAATATCTTCGTTAATATCCGTGATTAAAATAGGAGATTCATCTTCGAATGCAGAATTACCGATTGCAAAATTGCGTGACTTTATTTTTCGCAAAAGAGTTCCCTCAGATTGTTCTAGTTTAGCTATTGCGGCGTCGACACCATAATTTCTTTTGTCAATTTTATAATTATCTCGTAATCCATTTGTAAATAATGCCAAATGGGTATTATATCTTTTTGCATATTTCAAATCTTTTTCTAATTTCTTGATATCAGAGCATTTTTTAATTTCAAATTCCAAATCTTTAATCCTATCATAGATTTCATTTTCTACATTGTGTTCAACTTCAGACTTTCTTTTTTCTAAATTTTCCTTTTCATTTTTTAATTCATTTTTTAATTCTCTTTTAAGACCTATTGTATAAGCTCGACCATTAGATTGTAGTTTCTTGTCTAATTTTGCTTTTAATTCTTTTTCGAGATACATTACGTAGTCACTATCAGCTGGTTGACATATTTTGTTTTGAATTTCAGAACCATGTTTCATACGGATGACATAGTCATTTGTCAATAAATATATGCGTTCGTTTTGTTCGTTAGAATCTTTCACAAACATACCTAAAGTTCCGGCACAAATTGTTCCAGAGATTCCATGCTACAACCAGAAGAAACAAAGAGTTGAAATTCACAGCATTCTTTTGAACGATTCAAGCAAGTTGGTTCATAAAACTCTTCGCGTACATCTGTTTCTATATCATCAATATTCTTAGGAAAATAATCATTACCAATAGGAATCACTCCCTTACGGATAACATAGAAAATAATAGCTGGTTTTTCTATATAATATCCATCAACATTCTTCCAATCTAAGCTTATAGCAATAAGATTGATGAATTTTGAACGAAAGTCTCGTCCGAGCTGTGTATTCAGGATATTATCAAATTTCTTTATGACATCGAAAGGTATGCTTTTTGTGGAGGAAAATTTTTTGGACCTTTTTCTGTAAATGTTCTCCACTCAATATAAGCTATTGGATACCCTCTAACACATTGCAATGGTTTTTTTGGTTTGTTTTCTACTACAACATATAGGATGAGGGTACTTTTACTTCTAAATTCTTCTGCTTTTTTACCAAAGAAGACATCTCGTACATTCGGATCAATTAGAATTTGTTGCAACTCTTCTTTCATTTGTACAACTATTAGGAAATTATTTATAAAAAATGAAATTAAAATACATTAAATATATTTATAATTTAATTTTAATTAATTACTTACTTTTTCATTATTCATAATATTTGAAGCTTCTATTATATAAAGAATATATATATATTAAAATCAATTTAAAGAGTCTATTATATATATTATAAATATTATAACACTTACCAATATTTTGACTAATTTCTAAACTTTTAGATTCAAAGTCTAAAATTTCATTTTTCAGTAAAATCAAGTAAACGACCTGTATGAAATACTTGAGGATGATCTTTTACTTTGTTTAAATTATTATTTTGATTATATTTTAATGTTTTATCTGATTTATAAAAATCTACAATATCATCTTTTAATTCTATATCAAAATCTTTACTTGTAATATTCTCAATCCAATTATTAATGATCTTTTTAATTTCTAATGCTGTAGGCCTTTTTAATAGATTAATATCCAACATTTTTCCATTAAATTTATATAACATTTGGGAACATTTTCATTAATTTTAGAATGTTTTACCTTTACAAATATCTAAACCAAGTTGAAGATTATGTGCTTCATTATTAAATAAAAAAACTCCTGATATAAATTCCCACATAATAATAGAAAAACTATATATATCACTAGCTAAAGTATAATATTGTCCTCTTAAAATTTCAGGAGCTACAAATGGTAAAACACCATAAATCTCATTTTTTTTAGATGTTTGAAAATAATTTACAGGTTTACATAATCCTAAATCACTAATAGATAAAATATTTTCTCTAATTTTTAAAATATTACTATGATAAAAATCACAATGAATAAGATTCTTTTGATGTATTTCTCCAAGTCCACTAATAATATCTTTTAATTGTAATAATTTAATAATCTATTTATTCTTAACTATATTTGATAAATTTTTTCTTAAATTATTATTTTTTGCATATTTTATTATTATCATATAATTTAAAGTATTTGGATCTTGAGTAAATCTATATAATTGAATAAAATTTTCATTTGAATATGTTTTTAATTGACTATAACATTCATAATGATATTTCTACTAAATAAAAATAAATTAATTTAGTTAATTTAAAAACTTCTTATTTAAAATTAAATATAATTATTAATATACCTTATTTAAAAATTCCTCATTTAGATTTTGATGATTTATTAAAACTTTTAAGAATTACATCAATATTACCACTTCTAATCCAATTATTATTATCATATAAATAAGTTTTAATAAACCCATCAATCCAAATTGCTTTATATATAATACTAAATCCTCCTTCATCAAAATGCTTAATATTTTTAAATTTATTATAAGGAATCCATTCTAATAATTGCTCTTTATTTTGAGCATTTATTTGAGTATTTTGAATAAATTTATCAATAAATTTATTTTTACTAGTCCAATTAGAAAAGTTTTTTTGAAATAAATTAGAATAACATTCTTTATACCATTTATATCCAGTATTTTTTTTATTATAATTTGAGCAAATCCCTTTTGTTTTAAATAATAATTTTATAGTATTAATATTATAATTATTATTAAAAAATAAAATATAATACTTACTTAATAAATATATTTATTAATAATAATATTTATATTATTAATTTAATTATGCTTAAATTATTTATTTAGTAATAAAAATAAAAATAACTTACCCACTAATAAATTTATTTTTAAAATAAATAAAAATTTTAATTAATATTATAGTAACAAGTATAATTAAATACTAAAATCAAAAAAATAACTTACCAACTAATAAAGTTTATTTTTTAAATAAAAAATTTAGTTACCTTTAAATTACAATAATAGGTATAATTAAATACTGATAATTAATAAAATAACTTACTATCTATTAATTTTAAATAAAAATTTTAGTTGACTTTAAATTATAGTAACAAGTATGATTAAATACTGATAATTAATAAAAATAACTTAACAATCTATTATATTATTAATATAAAATTTTAGTTGACTTTAAATTATAGTAACAAGTATGATTAAATACTGATAATTAATAAAAATAACTTAACAATCT